TATAAGGGTTCCCAAATCAGGTGACCATAATAAGGGGTTATTTTTGTGGGATGAGAAAATCCATAACTTGAAAAATCAAGGGTAAACTGGTATTATTATGGTTTCCCTTCCAAGTAGCGCTAACCCAGCAGCCCCGTTCAAGTCCATTGGGCTCCGTCGCATTTTCCCCCGTTTGAGTTTCATGGGATGCCTGACTGGGCAAAAGTTAATATCATATGCCCTTGAGCGCAGCCCCACCCAAGATGCCAGCTTAGCAATTCGGGCTCGACCTGCAAAAAGGTCTATAACATCCAATTGGTCAACCACGTCCTGGTTCCAAATGGGCACGGTCAAGAACGAGACCAGGATAACAACCGATATGAAATCCTTAGATGCGGCAGCTCAATGTATTTGTTGGTAAAGGCACTGCTGCTTGTTTCCAATGCAACAATGTGACTCCCTTTGTTATTTTCCCCTTCATTCCCAATACCTCCAAACAAAAAGGGCCCATAGATAAGATACTGTAATCAAGAATCCTTGGGAACACCCATGGCTAGCATTTTGCGGAGCGCCAGGTCGACATGTGGGGTCATAGCGGCCACCAGCAAACCGAAGATTAGGCCAGGCCAAGTTGATACCACCCAATCAAACTAATGGAGCAATCCCTCGATCCAAAAAGACCAATGTAATCCAATGTATTATGTATTGGCAATTTGAGATTGCAACTTCAAGTCTGGATTGATCACCAGTTGGCTCAAAGCAACAAGTTGTGAGCTGACAGAAACAGAACCCTCACCCACACAAACAAGCCAGGACTACATTTAAAGAAGCCGGTTCTGGCAAGAGAGGCCTGCCCACGACGGAGCTTGGGAGCCATTGATCACGTGGTTGGACTCCTGCATGGGCATGGCATTTACGAAACAACCCAGAAACTCTGATAGAAGGAAGGGGCGAAAACAATATCAAACACAATCCAAAACATCTATATCATATCGTTGAATCCAGCTAGTGTTACTAGGATTAAGTATGATGAACTGCTATTCGCTGCAATCATTTTCCCTGGGTTCGCTATGTTGCCATGCAGGTGGGCATCAACGGTGCGTCTACCCTGCAGCTGCCGATGAGGACTGGCAGTTTGGCACGTCCATGGGCTACGTATGATAATCCCTAAATCTAAAATCCGTCCTCCATGCATTGATCAGTGAATCATAAAGATCAGATAATGTAATATCCCAAGAATAGAATGGAGCGGCATATTAGGAAAATTTCTGACAAACTTCAATGGTGTTGGCAAACCAACACTTGGAGGGAATCGACACATGTGCATGTCAGCACTGCAATCAAAACCTACCTAGGCCTCTCCACTAGGTCACTAGCAGGGCAAGGCCAGCCAACCCATATGCAATGCACAGGCATTGTCATGGTACAGCCATGCCTCCCAGCTATGAGCTTTTCACTCCGTAGCACCCGTAGCCGCATCCTTCAGCTGCTTACCTCACTTAGCTTTTGTAGGGAAAGAAATCAATCATGCTTGGGTAATTTGGGATCTGAATTTTCTTCAGCATTCTTGTCCTCATCCTTTTTTCTTACAAGGAAATGTATACTGTAAAGGGTCCTTTTTTTCTTCAAAAAACCCTGCCCATCCCTGCCCAACCAATACTAAAAAGACAAGCTGCGAGCAATGTCGTTCAGAAATGATGACACTTGAAGCTCAGCCACGGCGACCAACTGATCCAGCGAGGCTTCGTCGCTGTCAACGGCGTGCTGACGAAAGGCCGCAGCACAAAACTTGTAGAAGGGCGGCTGCAAAGACGACTGCCGCTTCACTTTGTCGGCGATGCACTTCTCAAAGACACTCTTGATGGCCTGCATCTTCTTCCAAGCTGCTGACGACTCATCCTCTGGGATCCAACGGCCACCCCATGTTCTGGAACCCTTTGGGGCTGGAGGTGGTGCTTGCTCGTCCGGCTTGTCCTTGGACTTGTCAGGCTGCTCAACGATCTTGGCCGATTTGGAAGGGCGGGCAGCGCTCTTCTGAGCTGGACGTTTCGCAACAGGTGCCTTGCCCTTGGGCTTTGCGCTCTTGCTTTTGGCATTGGCCTTGGGCACACGCCTGCGAGGAGTAGTCTTGCCCTTGTCTTGCTTGGCAATCTCACCCGTCTTCTGGTTGCCTTCTTCCTTCTCTGTCTTCTCCTTCTGCTGCTTCTTCTCGTTCTTCCTGGATTTGGGAGCTTTGATCTCCTGACCTTTTTCATTTGTCTCAGCTGCCTCCCCGTCTTCCTCATCCACCTGCTTTCCATTGCGCTTCCCCCGGCCACGCCCACGGCCTCGGCCTCGATTTTGACCACGGCCGCGGCCAGTGTCCGGTTCAAGCTGATGATCGTCTGTTCCAAGTTGTTCTCGGCGAGTAACGGTGGGTGCTTCCTCCAAAGGGGTTTGCTTATAAAAATGTAAGGTGGCTATAAGGTGCAAACGCGTGTAAGCTCGCTAGGTGTCCTAAAAATATTGGTAGCCTTGAAGTAATCTTTGCTGGGAACCATGGATAAGGGACCAATGTGGTGGTATTCTATTCCTATGTGTTGTTTTCAATGTACGATGCCTGAATTTCCATCAAATCCACACCAGGCTCTGCAGTAGGCTCCAATGCTGGTTGTTCAGCCTGTAGCTCCGCAACTTCCTTGGTGGTCTTTTCCTGGGAGGGAGGAATTTCTGGTGCTTGAAGCTCACCACCCGCTGCGTTGTCAGAACCATGGCCATGCTGATCGTCCTGCAATGGCCCATCGCATCCGGAAGGTGCTTTGGCGGGAGAGTCCTTGCAGGGGAGTTGAGAAGCTGGGTAATGCAAGACTTGTTAAACACATGTTGTTTTTGAGAAACAAATGATAAGTTTTTTTTACAATGCAGTTTTACAATCCCGGGCTTCGATTTCGATGGTGGAAAGGGCATCAGGCACAGGTGCTTCAGGATCATAGGGCAGCGTCTCCATCGTATCCACATTCGCAGTGACGCCTTAGCTGGTCAATGGCTGCTGTTGACATGAAGTCCACTATGGATTTGGGTGGATGGCATGTTTTTTTTGATGGCCAAAGTATAGATGGCACCCCGCCAAGACATGTAAAGAAAAAAATAATATTAAATTAACACCCAAATACCCAAAGCAGCAGAACTCTTCAATCTGGCAAGGTTTGAGTTCTCCTTGTCCTGCATCTTTTGCCTGAAAGGGACGCCAACCCCATTTTCCTCCAATTATTTTGAAGGGACACATGGTGTAGGAACCCCATCTTTAAGGAACGACCAGTTATTCCATCCCTAGCATCATGGTTAGGCTTATGGGAACTAACTCTTACAAGAACATGTTTTGCAACCCAAACCTCAACTCCTCCATGCGTGCCCTGATTTCCATCTTGCGCTGCAAGACTTGAGGATCAACTGGTGGAGGCGGTGGCATGCTGATGCTGGCACTGCTGGGCTGCTCAGGGAGATCAGTGGACGGACCTGGGGAATCCACTGTCAAATCATCCCAAGTAGCCGGAGGGCGGGGATCAGGCTGGGAGTCTGCAAGGTCAGTCCACATAGGACCTTCCTCCTGGGAATCCATGGGAATCTCCTTAGAATCCATCGGGCTCTCTTCATTCTCCTGGGAATCCATGGGAATCTCCTGGGAATCCATGGGAATCTCCTTAGAATCCATCGGGCTCTCTTCATTCTCCTGGGAATCCATGGGAATCTCCTGGGAATCCATGGGAATCTCCTTAGAATCCATCGGGCTCTTCTCATTCTCCTGGGAATCCATGGGCATCTCCTGGGTGGCCATGGGCACGGAGTTGTTGGGAATGGGATCCATGAAGATGTCCTGGGAATCATCAGGCACCACTTCAACATCTTCATCATCAGACATGTAGCGGGCACTTTCACCTTCATGCCGGAAAGGGGTAGTTGGGACAGGCCCATTCTGATCACCATCATTATCAGAAACGCTCCCATCCATGATGGCCAAAGGGGGGGCATCAGAGGCATTCTCATCATCATCATCACCCATGGCGGCGTTGGTCTCAGGGTCACCCCATGCAAAGTCCATGATTTCCCACACGGCGTTCAACGTAGGATCCTTAGGCCGGAAACAGTCCAGCTAGACATGTTTTTTTGGTTAACTATGGTTAACTTCATAACCACAACCCCGGGGACCCAAACCTTTATCAAAATATGGGCTTATGTATTTGAATGCGGGTGGCTCTAAACCTATCCCTAAATAGAAAACAACTTAATCATTAGGTGGCAAGGTTCACGAGGCTTCGCCGAACCGGCCAACCATCTTCTCAACACATGGCTGAACAGTCGCTTCACACCCCATGAGTCAAGCATCAGAACGCTTGCATCCTCTTCAAGCACTAAGAGCTCTCGAAATCGAGCCACCTCAGGGGCTCAAATTTGGGTAGATAATGGTAGATATTTATTTTCAGGATGGCCAACTTTGGAAGTAAAATAATTTAGAACCACTTAAGGTTTATAATTTATAAGCTACAAGTATGGTGGGTTCTTTAAAGGTTCGATAGAAACTGTGGTGATTTCATATGATATTGGGAGAAGTTGAGTACAAGAGAAGTTGAGTACAACCGGGCCTCGGTTCTCATCATGCCAATTGGGATAGCACATGGTTTGTCCACCATGGCAACCCACCAACTTGCTGTCAGCTCCAGCATGCGAGAATTCATCGAGCATGCCCTCATGCTTGGGATCCCTACTGACTTCTTGCATGGCCAAACCGTTAACTGGTTGTTTTGCCGGCCACGGCTTCTAATGAGTGAGTCGGCTTCCCAGTCCCGTGCAACGCTCATCGTGGCACGTGTTAGTCACTGGAAAATTCCTAGATCTTTGGGCCCTCAAATGTTCTCAGAGACAATTGATGCAAAAATTACATGACGATCCACATAAAATCCATGAAGGAAATCCCATAAGGTGTTCCCACATCTTGCCCCCCCCCCTTTGGTCCTTCAAACGCATCTTAAGTGATGCCCTTCGCCATGCTGTACCTGCCGAGGTTGAATGCCTGTGGCTGAGCTGGGTGACATCCTGTGAAGATCAGTGCAGCTAAAAAAGAAGGGGCACGCCTCCTTGAGATGGCGGATCTTTGCAGCCAGGGCGGTCAAGGGGCTTTCACCCAAAGAGCCAAGTGAATGGCTAGGGATAGAGGGTGAAAAATGGTGATTAGTTATTGAAAAGGATGAGAAACATCAAAATAACAAGAATCGCTCGAGAGCAGAAATTATCGCTCTCAGCCCAGAAAAGCATTTCTTGCTGAAAGAGCAGAAATTTAACATACTTCTGAAGACGTAGGTATATATATATATTTATACATACAATTGATTAAACTTATATATATACATGTAATTAAAATGTAGTTAAGGAGATTATATGATATGATATAAACCACATTCACATATAACGAACGGTTCGCCTCAGGCGCGCCGCCGAGATCGTGGCCTTGAACTCTTTGTACGCACAGTCCAGCTCTGGGTTCCTTGGATTCCTTGGCCTTTTGATTTCACCCATGGTTTGGTGGGGATTATGAGGTAATAATGGGATATTGATAATACCCATAGGATCCATGTATGGTATATATGCTAACATTTGGGGTATATTGATGGTAAATGTATGTAAATGTTACCATATATAGCATACATGGATCCTATGGGATATAATATTGGGATTTATAATGGATTTATATATGGATTATACGGATATTTATTGGGATTTATAATACGTATTTATAATGTTTTTTTTTTTTTATATTGGCTTTATATATGGGATATTTTTAGGGATAATTGGATAATTGGAAGTAGTCAAATATTGTTTTTGAGTGAGGATTATCATGGCATATGTATTGGAATATGAATTGGCAAGATAAACTGCCATAAGTTGGGTGGGGAAAATAGAAGCTATGGTGATATGACTGGGTCAAGCTTGGTTAGATACTAACAAGGACCTTTTTTTCTTGTGCTATGGATTGCAGTGGTAAAATGTGCTAACCAGCAAGAAAAAAATGAGAGGTATCTAAGATTCACCATTTATTGGAATATGAATTGATGAATTGGATATTACCCTCTGGTAATTTAACATACCCTCTGGTAATTTAACATAGCTATGGAAAATCACCATTTTTCATGGGAAAATCCACTCTAAATGGTCATTTTCAATAGCTATGTTAAATTACCAGAGGGTAGCTATTGAAAATTGCCATTTATAGTGGATTTACCCATTAAAAATAGCGATTTTCCATAGCTATGTTAGTTTACCAGAGGGTAATGAAATATTTGCTACTACACTTCGGTTCTATCAAACATGGCTGGGAAATGGGTATGAAGCCATCAATGGCTGAAGGGTAAAAGACACCTGACCCAGGAAAGATCAAAGCTGGTGCCCATGGGTCGTAAAGACATGTGTTCATTACTTGAAATCTTATTTCTGGGCTTCCATATTTGTTCTTCTGGGTGTGTACTATTGCAACTTATTAATGTGGAACCCCAAAAATGGGAATAAAGATGAATAAAGTGGATTTCCGGAAATATACTGTATCAATATCCCTATTCAATGGTTTAATGGCGTTTAAATCTATCCCATAAATTCCATAAAACACATAGCTCCGATATATGGGAGCTTCCGGCAGATGACCTAGATGACCTATGACCTGCAGGAGCCTTCAACACGCAGCCTTGCCACGGATTCGGAATGTGTTGGAGGAGTGAACAGCGCTGCGCTGCTGGAAGCTGCGGGCTTTGGTGATTATGGGATTTGAATGGATTTTATCTATCTTATATTGATGGACTAAGAGATATTCATGGGGAGTCATGGGGATGTTTCCATGGAAATATCGTGGGAATGTCATGGGAGAATATCACCAACAATATGTCACAATGTTTTTTTGGATGAATTTGATCGTGACCTCAGGTCGTGGCGGAGTTCTGGAATGATGGTTTATTGATACTGTAAATATGAATATATATATATATATATGAATATATGAATACATGAATATAATTGAATATATATATAGTTACAAACTGGAACTTAGAACCTGATTTTGGAAATTTGCCATACCCCGAAAAAGTCACCGGAACTAACCGGTCAGATTTGGGTAAAATTGATAAAATTTATAATATTTTTACGTTTTGCGAAACTGTTCACCGTAATCAGAACTTAGAACCACTACCAAAAATGGCTCGCCGAGAGCCAAAAATGACTACCCTCTCGCAGTTTTTTACCCGAAAAGTAACCGTAAAACTAGCTAAGTAATATGATGTGTTGTTTGATGGATTGAACGAAAGAATGGGGAAAATTGATTAGTTTTGGTGTTGACATGTTTTTCTCAAACTCCTGGAGTCCAAAAAATGGGGAAAATTGATTAGTTTTGGTGGTGACACGTTTTTTTCTCAAATTTTTGGTGTTGACATGTTTTTCTCAAACTCGTGCAAGTCAAAAAATGGGGAAAATTGATTAGTTTTGGTGTTGACGGACTGAAACTTAGAACCATCCGCATATACCAGAATAATGCCAACACCGGATTAATAAACCCCCCCCCCCCAGAAGGTAGGGAGGTACCTTCTGACTGGTTTTCTTGATCGCCCCTTAATAATAAGCAACTCTGAACCATAAAACTTTGGATATGGCTTACGTCAATTAGATCTTAATAGAATTCCATTGGATTTGTTAAAATTTCATGGATCAGAAAGGTGGTTGATTAATCAGGGGCAAACCATGGTTATTATTACTGGGGGACATGGGCTCATGGGGGGTACCCTTTGGGAGCTATCCAAACTGATGTTTTTTATACATATTTTAATTAGAAATCGATCATTTGGGGAATAGTTGTTTTTTGAAATTTTCAATGATCAACTTAAACCTGAAGTATAACAATGATGATTAAAAAAAAGGTAAAAAACAATTGGAAATAAATAGAATTGGAAATAAAAAATGTTGGATAAACAAATGGATTTCCGAAGTGGTTGTTGATTAATCGGGGGTAGGCCAAAAAATTTATTAATCTGGGGGGACCACCTGTTTTTCCATTACATTTTTTTTTTGGGGCAGTTGCTGTTGATTAATCGGGGGGCATTATTAATCCTCACTTGACATTAGAGGGTAAGATATGGAAGTGTAAAGTTGCTCCTAAAAACAATGTCTTCTTTCAAAAGAGTTTGAACGGACATGCATATATACATATATACATATATATATATGCATATTTCTCAACTCCTGGAATCCAAAAAATGGGAAAATTGACTAAATTTGGTGTTGACATGTTTTTTCTCAAACTCCTGGAGTCCAAAACATGGGGAAAATTGATTAGTTTTGGTGTTGACATGTTTTTCTCAAACTCCTGGAGTCCAAAAAATGGGGAAAATTGATTAGTTTTGGTGTTGACATGTTTTTTTCTCAAATTTTTGGTGTTGACATGTTTTTCTCAAACTCGTGCAAGTCAAAAAATGGGGAAAATTGATTAGTTTTGGTGTTGACGGACTGAAACTTAGAACCATCCGCATATACCAGAATAGAGGGTAAGATATGGAAGTGTAAAGTTGCTCCTAAAAACAATGTCTTCTTTCAAAAGGGTTTGAACAGACATGCATATATATAATATATAATATCCTGGATCTTCCAAATCCATGGAATATCTCGTGGACTTCGTAGTCCACTGTTCTTCTCATATAATCGTTGGGAAATGGACCAAAACTACTGATTTCACTTAATCTCCTAGAAATGGGCCAAAATCGCTGAGAAATGCATATATATATATATATATATATTCAGAATACTCATGATAACATGCAGATTAATCCCAGTATATCACAATTTGATGGCCTACATAATCATAAAGGGGCAGGTGTGTGCCAGCTGGTGCGCAGCAAACTCGATCTTGCTGAATTCCTGAGCTCAAGTTCCACGGCTTGGCTGCACCCCTGAAAATGAATCTTGGATTAATACATGAGCTCGTGGGGATGTCTATTTGGGCATGGTAGTCAAACGATGTTTTTGATGCCATGCAGTTTCATTGGGCTGTGGGGTTCCCTCCTATTCATTTGATCCCGAATCTCCAACCGTGCTTTTGAGGAAAGCCATGATGCCTTTGCGCTGTGCTGTTTGCGCTTGGGTGGTTGCCCAGCTGCAACTAGATCACACCCCCAAACCATAATTTGAATTGAAAACTGTTGGCATGGAACATCCAAACATATTATATTTATGCATGAACCTCCACCAGATATATGTAAGTTGAACTCACTAATATGGGTATATGTCTCAAAATGGTGCCCTTTTTGGGTCCCCAAATGTCCCTTTATAAGCAAAAAAAGGCACCATTTTGAGACATCATATACCCATAAACGTTTGCAATGGAGATATGGACATGACCGCTGCCTTGAAGCGTCTCAGGTTTCTATAACATGGACCTCATGAACAAGCGATGCAACTACTTCAGTGGAAATGGATGGTGCCTCCTTTCCCCAGCCATGCGTGGGTGCAGGATTGTCTTCACCTTGTAAGCCCAGAAATAAGCCCTATGCATATTCACCTACATAGGATGACATGCCATAAAGGTCAACCATATTTATATGGAGCCCGGGGTTTGAAATTTGAACTATCAATTGCACATGTGGTTGGATGTACACGCATTATAGAAATCTGGCTCAGCGTGAAAGATTGCAGTCGTCGCAATGACGACTGACTTAGCTAGGGCATGGGAACAGGAAGAGTCCATCAGATTAAAGGGAAGGAAAATGGAAGCTGTCCCTTGGCTACATAGGGTGTTATCCACGTCCAATCCACGTCCATGATTGCATTCAACCCTTCCAGCCGAGCATCGGCCGCGCAGCATCCATCCAGGTTTCCGTGAATGGCAAATTCATCAGCCGTGACTCCTTGGTGCAGAACGAGAAGATCTTGAGTCTTGCAATTCAGCACGTGGGTTCACGGGTTTCGGTGCCAGTGGTTTACCAACACCTTGACAGTTTCTACAACTTCATTTCTGTGCCTATGGACAGTGGCATGGCCGTATTGTGTCAAAGAATTTGTATTTGATATTTTACTATAGTTTCATCATATAGCTTGTCCATGCTCATCTATACAGCATCTAAGGTGGGGTCATCCACATGCAGGCATGGTTCTTGCGAAAGTGTATGACGTTGTACAACGATGTGGTCCGTAGAACTCATCTACCCAGAGAACCTGCTATCCGACGTCTCCTAGCATCTACTGGGGTTGACTTATGTTTGTATGGTCCCTCTGAGATGTCGGAAGAGGAGCGAGTTGATGATCAGTGTGAAGAAGCTTGGGAATCCGAAGATGAATGTGAGGATGACCCATGTTTCCCAACTGCATAGTTTGATGATATGCACTTTTCTTCAGCAATAGGGACTATGGGGTATTGAATGAATCAATGGATGACGTAGCCAAGGTTTGGAAGATGCTGACCATGTTCCTTCTTCCAGAACAGCGGATCATGTTCAGCCAGAAACCGCAGAGGTGCCATGATTTAATTTTACTATTCAACAATATGCGGGCTTGAGACTTCTCCAATAACTACAATTTTTTGGCCCGGGTTGAAAGGGGTTGCCATTCTTCCAAAACCCCTCCTGACTAAGGCCAAAGATCTTGGAGAGCAGCCAGGATGCTCTTCAAGAGTTGCCTCACCTGCAGCGTCTGATTTGGTGACACCACCCCCGAAAGGTGCACAACCATTGGGCTGTTGAATGCTGTGGTGTTGAGGCTGTGTATCTATGTAATCCACATGTATCACATGTAACTGATGTCATCACCGGTTCATCCGACAACACCCAACATCAACCAATATTATCCCATTTCATCCAACATCATTATGTGACTCCATATGCTTGGTGGTTTTCCAGTTTCTGGCCACTTTTGGGAGGCCCAGCAGTTCTGAATGAGACCCCGCCAAGAGGTGAGAATCAGAAGATGGCCAAGTTGCAGCTCTTATGTGAACTTCAAAGCCAACTAAAGAACTTGGCGTTGTTGAAAGAGTTCCAACTTGATGCTCACCGAAAACGCGTGGCTGTGTTTAGCCCAAAGCATGGTTACTTGGAGAAACTCTTGATATCTGTATGCGCACTGTGTTGTTGCAGGATGTGTTTAGTTTATGTGTCGTGCCTGTGCATACATCAGTGTGTGTGTGTGGGTACATAGCTAAGGCTATGGCGCTGACAACGTGGAAACCCAGCCTTGGGGATCCCAAACCCAAGGCAATGAGCACATCAGCCCAACCAGCCCAAGCAGCCCCGTTGCAACTTGTGAGATCTTAGCAAAGATTGAAGAGGTAGAATCAACCCTGCTCGTTGAGGACCCAAAACCGACAAAGGAAGGAGACCAAAACACACTAGATGCAACTGTGGTCACTAGCATGGAGAAGGTGCAGGATCAGAAGACAAAGGCCAACCCAACAACAGATGAAGAGGATCCAGGATGCGAAGCCAAGAACGTAAGCAATGAACCACAGAGCAGCAAAGACACAAGCAAGGATCCCCAGCCGACAGTCAAGAGGTTGATTGTACCCCCTGGCCACGACGTGCCTATCAAGCAGCACATGACTGACATCTTTGCCAAAGCCCGGCCAACAGCACTTCCACCACATGGGCGAGCCTCAACCACCTTAGATGTAAAAGCCAGCATATGGATGAGCCAGCAGGAATTGCAGAAGACAAAGAAGACATGTCAGGTAGAGCCCACGAACAAT